GCCACCTTCCTCTGAAGCAGCTGATACTGAGAATTGTTGGTGATAGAACACTGGACTAGATGGACCAATCATCTGATTCAGTGTGGCCATTCCTATATTTCTATGTGATGGAATGCACCCCTGTATTCACATCCTATACACCAGGGATGGACAAACTTATTGACTCTCCGAGCTGCATAGAACAATCTTCAGAAGTTCAAGAGCTGGGGCATGCCTGCTGGGGCTCAATTCTTTAACCCTGTGGTGGGGTGGCGGGCTAAGGGCTTCTAGCCTCCCACACCCTCCCACGGGGCAGAAGCCCCGAGTTCCCTCAGACAGTCTGGTTGTCAGAGAATGGGGGGAGGGACTCCGTGAATCACACTTTAACTGTAAAAGAGTCGCATGTGGCTCATAAGCTGCAGATTGGCCACCCCTGCTATACGCTATTGTAATAATATTTGTGTAAAATATGCCTTGTCAGGTATCATTTGAAAACTAACTTGCTGGTCAATAATTTCATGATCAAATGTATGTAACAACATTATATTCACAGTTATGAACATAAGCTGAAATCATGACTGAAGTATGTTTATCAGACAAGTCTGGGAAGTGGGTAAACCTGTTTCTCAAAGACAAAGGAAAAACTGAACCCACAGCCAGGTGTCATCAAAGCTGATGGGCCATAACGTATCAAGTGGCCATTCTTTGGCAAGGAAAAGGGGCAGGAACAAATAGGTCTGCATCTTAGCAAACAGCAGCAAAATAATCCCCCTCCCTACCAGACTCCGTGTCTCCTTGCTCTCAGCTAGAAAGAACTTTATCTAGGGGTCCCTCTCAGGAAGATGCATTTCAAAGGGTGATTGAACTATAAAAGTGAGGGGGGGGAAAGCACGCCAAGTTCTCTCTCCCTATTCATCTCTCTTTGCCACCTAAGACAACAAATGGACTTATGGAGTTTGGGAACAGATCCTGGCCTAAGAGTTTAGTCAGCAAAGCACTGAAAACATGTAAGAACTTCACCTTGAACCAAGTCTATTTTCTTAAGTTTAGAAAGCATTTTATCTTTATTTTTCTTGTAATCATTTCTAACTTTAATGCCTTATTACTTCTTGTACTCACTTAAAATCTATTTTTATAGTTAAATAAACTTGTTTTATTCTTTAATTAAAACTAATCCAGTGTTGTGAATTATTTGGGTAACTTCATTTAAGGTAACAAACTGTTGTGTGTGGATCTCCTTTGCAGGGCAACAGACCTAATATATCTGGACTGTCCAGGAGAGGGCTGGACAGTGCAGAACACATGTTTTTTGGGGAAATTCAGGACTGGGAGTATATTGGGGTCACCCTGCAAATAGTAACCCAGGCTCGTGGAAGCCAGGGTGTGGCTGGTCTCTGCTGACAAGCTGCCGGGGTCAGAGCTGATGGACCAGGTCTGTGGCTATACAAAGACACTGTGTGTGTGACCTGAATGCTGGCAAGCTAATTGTGAGTGATGCAAGTTGGAAGCTACAGCAGCACTGTGAGACACCCAAGGTTGCAGGCCAGGGGTGACATAGCTCCACATCAGTGTAGATTGCACCCCAGAATGTCATACTATGTTCCTTCTATAAGCTGATGGTTGGCCTACTTTTTACATGTTTAGGACACTTAGCACCCTGTTATCCCTGTTGCCCTCCTGAATTGTTTGTTGCAAACGATTAAAAGAGTAAGAAGAAGTGATTCAAAAGTACACTTTGAGCTACCTCACTGGACTTCATGACTCCGAAGAGAGGATAGAGGAAAGCAGGAACTAGGGCTGCAGCTCCGAGTGGTACCGCTTCTGAGACCCAGTACACAGCTGTCACTATCAGCACATAGGCACATGAGGCTTCCTGTGGGGAGGAATCACTGAGGTTAGACATCGCTGAAATCACCTCTGCTGCATCAGCCTTTGCAAATGTGTCCACAGAGAGGGCCCAGTCACAGGTGATTAGATTACACCATAGTCCATGGGGACCATATTATGGGGACTTCCCAAAGAGCCAGTTAGCTGGGACTAAATTGTGGGCTACCACTAGAGGACTGAAGAAATTCTAAAAGAGAGCAGGATGCTACTAAGAGTTTAAGGACTATACCGGTGACAAGTTAGAAATGGATTAGGAAAACAATTGGGGTAAAAAGAAGAGCATAAAGAGTGACAATTAAAGAGGTTACACAGGTTTCTTAAGTTACTTCAATTTAAAATATACAATTCTGAAGCCAAATCAAGAATTTATTTTTATTGAATGGTCACTTCAAATTGCTACCAATTAAACCACAATCCTCTGAGTCTCAAGACTTCCCATTTCCCAAATGCATGCTTCATAATCCACAAATATTAAAATTAGTCTTTGATCTCATCCACTCTAACCCAATCTAGTCTAGACACTCCAATTGCTTTTTCTTGCCTGTAGTGACATTGTAACTGTGATAAATTCTTGTACAAGAATGAGAGAAAATGTCTTTCCTAATTCAACCAGATTCCAGACTATAGAATAGTGAAACCTTATGATGGAAAGTTTAGCATACGAACCAGTGTTGTATTAAGGTTAAGAACCAAACAAAATATACATGTGTGTTATGCAATTGTAATAGTTCCTGTGTGGTCCAGAATTTCCAATGAAATTATATAGCTGGAGCACAGGAATCTGGATCTGTATTTGTCTAACGGCAGCTTGGGTACTCCTAGTTTATATTATTTAATTAAATTCTTGTTTTTACTATTTATATTTCAGTTACTTTAATGCTCTTTGTTATTTGAATTGTGAATGTTTAATGTCATTTTCAGAAATAAGGATTAAAGTCAGGTCAATGACAACTAATTTAAACCTAGGCCGCTGAATAAGAGCTGGCTGAAGTTTTTAAACAAATAGAAGCTATGACAGATACTAATTTGTGTAAACATTTTCTTTGGGTTGAGTTCTGGATGGTATTATATGCTGAACTACAGAAAAGAAACAGTTGAGTGTGGATCCTAGAGCCCAGGGAGTACTGTCAACAGATATTCACAAACATTGATTTGAATAAAAACTAATTAATTTAAAGGGTATTCGAGTCCCCTATGATTTGCTCTCTGTTTCTTTTTCTGCAGTAATTTTTGTACACAATACTTCACTGGTGGAAAAGGTAAGTGTTAGAAATACCCGTCAATTGGCACAAGAAGAGTTCACGTGGCTTCCTGAAAACTCTGTTGTTTTGGGAATCATCTAGTCCAGGAGTAGGAACAAATCACACAGCTCAAACAGGAAATTATGAGTAGTGAACACTCAAAGCAACAGTCTGTGATTATTTAATAAGAAATCCATAGGGTGACATATTTTCATACAAACCATCCAATGGATAATTTTCAATAATGAACAATGGTAAGATTCTTAGCTGGTGTAAATGTTCATAGCTCCTTTAACTTCCATAGAGCTGTCAATTTATACCAGCTAAGGTGAAAATTGACATCTGCTTGAAGATAATTCATGAACAGAAAAAGAGGCTAAATTTGTTTAGTTGTTAGCAGTAAATATTCCCAGAACTCTAAGCATAACTCACTGAGACTCAGACGATAGAGACTCAGTGATAGAGAGTGAAGAGACATACGTCTGTTTGAAAAATAAGCTGGAAGACTACAGTAAGTTATCCAGGTTGCCTAGAAAAGGTACTTGCATGGTGTTACACCAGCTATCTCCATTGCTAAAATGTACACTTATCAAATTGTTGCCAATTCTGTCTATACCAGAACTTTGGACAGCAATGACTTCTGTAAGATTAAGGAATGGTGTGGTTTTTCCTTTTCCTTTATATCTCTACACATCACAAATTTCTGTTTTAATTTTTGAGTGTGAGTTTGTAGCTCATGAGAGTGATCGTTTCGGCTAGAGCTAGCCATCATAAAGGTCCCCAAACACTGATTTGACCACCCCCTCTTGCCACATACTCACTGATCTCAAAATCTGACACACACACACACACACACACACACATTGGAATTTCAGAAAAACAGAGAGTGACCTCAGAAGCGCTCTCTCTCTCTCTGCTTCCCCACACATGGATCTCAAACTCTTGGAACAAGGCCACAAAGTAAATTATAGAAAGGGGCATCCTTAACTCTATGTTTCCTGGTGGTTGTAGGTTTGCACGGAACCATTTGCTACTTTTGTTTCTTCAAATTCTGAAGGGCAGGATAGCAGCAGGAAACCTAGGATTAACTTTAGAAAAAAGAATGAAGATGCCGAGGAGGGAGTGGGGATATCTGGGAGTGAAGGAAGGGTAACATACAGTTTGACATTCGTAACAGATTCTTTAAAATAATATAGTGAAATGTCTAGAGATTGGAGCTAGCCTGAAATTTTCTTTTTTAGACTGTGCCAAAGTCAGACAAAATTCCATTGAATTTAATGAAGTATGCACATGGGATATGGCTCACTGCAATTATTAGCTATTTAGACAGATGGAAGGTATACTTATTCACATGGCAATCATCTTGCTTGTTTCTCTTTTCAAAACTAAAACATGAATAATGAGGTCCAAATCTACAAACCACATGGAAACATACATTTGAATTATTTGATGTACATGTTTATGAATTTGAAGTGCTCACACAATAAAAATAAATTCTGGATTGGCTTCAAAATCTTATATTTAAAAAGCCGTGTAACCTCTTAATCCTACACAAAATGAAGAGTAAACTAATAGAACACAGGTTGTGTGGTGCAGAGAATTAATCCACTTTCTGTAATCTATGGAGACAAGCTAAATGTAGTCTAGGTCAGAGTCACATGGTTAATCAAGTTAATGACATTAACCTAGGAGTCAATGGCCTGTCAACCACATCACCAAATACTTTTAGACTTCATAGGCAATTTTCAAGAGAGACGGAGGAGTAGGGTCACATTCACAGTCTGCGTGTGGCTTGGCTCCATCCCTGCAGCATGCCCCCTCCTGGCACAACATGGTGCTGCAGGCATGCCACCTAGGATTGCCACCATAGGTGCTGGAACTAGTGGTTCTGGGGGTGCTGCTACACCTCCTGGATTGAAGTGGTTTCCATCATATATAGGGTTTACAGTTTGGTTCAATGGCTCTCAGCATCCCCGCTATACAAATTGTTCCAGCACCCCGGTTGCCCCCTGTGCAGGTTTTCCCAGGATCATCCTTTTCTTGAGTTAGCTGTCCTGGGAAAGCTGTATGGTGCCCAGTACACACTGCCAGCTGTCCAGTTTCATGGGCTCAGGCTCATCCTAGATGTCCCGTTGTTGTTTTTACCTCAGAACTAGCAACCCTAATGTCACCCTCAGCTCCCTCTTGCTTCTCCCAACTAACTTGTTCACATCCTGAAGTCATATTCCCCTGTCCAGTTTATTGATCTTTATAAATATAGAGTTTCCTTTGGTCTCTCAGGTTCAAATTCTTCTCTCTAGTTAAAGGATTCCACAGCCCTCCTTTGTGGGGGCTGTGGTAAGGGACTTCATAGCCCTCCTGCAATGGTTCAAGTCATCTTCACCAGCCCACCAGCAGGCAGGTTCTAGCATTGCTGCTCATCACCTCAATTCTTCTGGCTCTTCAGAGGCTTCTGTTTTTATCACTACCCCACAAGGCATGATTTTAGTCACACAACCTGCCTGTCATTGGACTGATTTTCTCCACCTAGGGAAGTGAGCTAAGTGTGTCATAGTTGAGTATAGACCCAGCATCCCTTAAAAGACCAGTCACCCTTTGACACAGTCTCATTGAAAAGCTCACAAAAACCCACATGAAAAGACTTTCAGTGACTTCAATGTGCTTTGGATCAGGCCTATAGATTTAGTGGGGGCAGAATTGCAGCCTTGGAAAAACTGTCATAAATCAAGTCAAGTCATAAATCAAGTGTCCAGCTGTTCTGCATGTTGATATTGATTCCCATCTGTGACATGGCAGTGACAGGAGTCCAAATGTTGGGCAAAGATACAAAAGGATGATAGCAAGAAAAAAGTAGTACAAGATACTTACATTAAACACTAAGAACATTTTTATAGGTTTATTTATTTTTCTCTCTGTTGCTTATCATTCCATTTAGAAGCCTGAAAAAAAATTCTGCTGGCAACTTTCTCCCTTCCCATTTAACATATATTGGCTCTTTCCATATGTTTGTCATAGGACATGAAATTAACACAACTCTATTTGTTTACTCCCTAGTTAGTGCACCCCCATCATTGACAACAAGAGCAATATAGACTTATATATGATACAGTGTATGAACCTACACTCAGAGCCCCCGGGAGCCATTTCACATATTTCTGGAATGTTTATTAGTTAACTTCTGCTGCAGAACAAAACCACTGAGTTTGTGTAGGTCCTACATGAGAAACAGTGACCATTTAAAAATAAATCTTGGTGGAACTAAGAGTGTTTTACTTTGCTTACAGTAAATATGTAAAATCTTAAAGATATTCTTTGCCAAAAATAATTTTAATCAGATAATATGTTGATCCTAAACTACTTCCCCTTTCAAAAGTACGTGATATACTTTTTAAACACATAAATGAAGAAGAGCTCTGTGTGGCTTGAAAGGTTGCCTCTCTCACCAACCAAAGTTGGTCCAATAAAAGATATTACCTCACCCACCTTGTCTCTCTACTTTCCTGGGATCGAGACAGCTACAACTACATTGCATATTTCTCTAACCCTTTTTTTGTGAGGTAAATAATGTACAATAGTAAAAATGGGGCAACACACAGTTTATGTGGGCTGGAGGAAAAGTTGAATCTGTTACGAGAGAGAGAGAGAGGGAGGATGGGCACTGTTGCTTTTTTCTTCCTAAGAACAAGTGTGTCCTCAATTTCCAAACAAAAACAAAATAAAGTCCATTTTGAAAAGGCAGAAAACTGAGCAGTAAATGCTTGGGGAGAAAAGGGTTCACAATAACTGCTGTATGATAATCTCTTCTAAAGACTTAATCAGCTTCTGTAGCAGCTTGGGCTATTTATGCTGCAAGTGCTTTAAGAGGGCTTGTTTCTATGAGAAACCATGTTAATCTCTTCTATTTAACTTTTATTTATTTATTTATTCATTGGTAACCAGAGTGACTAAGTACTGAAGTGGGGTTGTGTCTAGTGAAGTGTTGACTGTTCCACCCCATCCCTTCTCCTCACACAGCCCAAAGGGGGTGCAAAATCCACAGCCGACAGAGGGGCCTGGAACAGGGAGCAGGGAAGCAGAATGCAGTGGAGTGGGATCTATATAGAAAGGCTTTGGTGAAATGACTCTGCTTCCACCAACGCCATCTCAATTAGCCCCTGTGGCAGAAGAAAGGCGGGACTGTAGGCAGCCATGTTACAATCCCTGACTAAATTTTTCATCATTGTAGAATCTTCCATTTTAGGATTTCAAAGCATGAATGAAGTCGCCTCCCACCAGCCCTATGAGGCAGGAAGGCATTTACTGGTTATGTAGATGGGGAAAATGAGGCAAGATTTTTAAAAGTGACAGGTAAATTGGGAGGGCGGGTTTTTTGAGTGCCCAACTTGAAAGAGCTTGAAAAGGCCTGATTGTCAGAGGGTGGGGGCTCAGCACTTACTGAAAGCCAGGTCCCTTTCAAGTTGGGTACCCAAACTCAAGAGAATCTTGAAAAATCTTGGACTTACCCAAAATCATACAGTGGTTCAGTGGCAGGAATGAAAACCAAATCTCAATCCTCATTCCTGTGCTTTTCCCATCACCCTATATGTTTCCTCTCTTTAATTCAAATAAGACTAATATAAACCAAAGTACACAATCTTTGGCCATGTTCTTTGAATCCTAGTCTGTCCCCCTGGCATACTGTGTTGTCTGTTTACTGCACCCAGCACCTCCTGCTCTTCTTGGAGAGGAAGGGCTACGTACGAGTGAATGGATTCAGTGGGGCAGTGGGTCTGGCAGCATGAGGTGAGGGGGTGTAATTCATATAACCAAATGTTATTCCCAGTGTTGGACTGATACTGTCAATGGAGCTGGCAGCTGGTAGGAACATAAATCCTGTGTTAACTTTAATTTCCATGAAAAAGACAGAAAAATAGTATAATTGATTAATGGAACAGGACAAAATCAGTTAAGGACTAATTTAATCTTCGAGCTTTGAGCAGGATTTACAATCAGTGGAGACCAAGAAATAAAAACTACATTAAAATACTTGAATAGTATTCTGTCAGCTAAGTTTATTAGTATTCTGCCATGAAATCTGGAGCAATAAAAGTTACAGCAAAGTCCAACACAAAGCTCTCTGGTGTTGGAACAGTCCTATTCTGTGAATCTTGATCTTCTTCCCTATCAAACCCTATGGCTATATTCCAAAAAGGGATGGATAATTTTATGGCCATTAATAATATTTCTATTTATGCCTATGGTAATATATATTCTCACAGAAGCAGGAGAGTTCGAATGGTCATTAGCAGGAATCAGGAAGGAATTTTGCTCCCAAGGTAAGGAACCGTCCCACTGGCCAGATGTATATTTATTTATAGGCATCTCTATGGGGATCATCACCATAGATTTTTGAATACCTCACAAACATTAACAAATTAAGCCTCAACATCCTTATGAGGTAGAGAAGCGTTATTATCCTCCATTTTACAAATGGGGAAATGCAGGCACAGAGAGATAAAATGACTACGCCAAGGACAGGAAGTCCATGGCAGTGTCAGGAATAAAAACCAGATTCCTCAACCCCCAACCACAATTCCTCCATTTTGTGCTGTTGTGCCTTTCTCTGAGACTTCAACACTTAGCTACTGCCAGAAGTGTAATACTGGGATAGAGAAAACAAGGTCTGATATGCACTAGCAAATGCTGTGGATGTTCCTACATTTCTATCACTGAATCCTGGCTCCATTCTTTACAGCTGTCTTATAAAAACTCAGTCTAATTTGAAAGTCCCCGGACAACCTGTTGTCATTACGAGCCTCATGACACCTGGTATAATTTTTAAAAGAATCCTTGTTAAAGATAATGCCGTGTATCTGCCATACATAGTCTGTATTTTTGTCACACTTAAAAAAAAACGTATTTGATGCATTTGCCTGAAAACAGGAGCTTTTTCAGCTTCAGTGCTGATTCCCCACCTCTGCTTGTGACATCATATTTGGTTGCTATGACAACTACTACTCTTGCTTCTAAATAAATCGTATTTCTAAGTTCTACAAAGGGGCATCATTGCCCTGTAAGAATAATAACTCTGTAAGTTCCTCCCCGCCCCCCCATTTTCTGCAACACACCTGTCCAGGATGGTTACCCTGCAACTCACTATCACTCTCTTTGCCCGTCTGCTCCACAAGCTTTAATAAAAAGGAAACAATAATGTACTTACACTACTGGGGTATAAAAGTGGCAGAGGAAGCAGCAGAAGTGGAATGAGCACAACCAGCAGCAGGTTTCTGGCTCTGAGGAGCTCCTTTACCAGTGCCATAATGCTTCACTTCCTGGTTGCTCTCCTCCTTGGATTTGTCCTTGTTTTCCTCAGATGCTTCTACTTCAGCTCCAGGTCCTTCTTCAGCTTTGCCCTGATGTCTCCGAACGGGTTCTGACTGCACTGTGTCAACTCCTTTCCCCACCTTTCCGCCCCTGAAATTTCTTTGTTAATAGATTTATTCTTTTTCTGTTATATTTTAAAGAAACACTATCAAATTTGCTAACCTTTTTATCAGGTTTATGTAGGGCTTACTAGCATATCCTTATGATTGTCACACCAGAATCTACAGAGGTTTGCAAGCTGGAGCATAGTGGTCTTTTTGGTATTGGTGTTTTTATTCAGAATCAGGGAAGTTGCTGCATTGCCTTCTCATCCCTGTTTTATAAAGCTTCTGTTCCTTCCATCATCTGGTTTTCAGTGATGTAAGTCTTGCTTTTGGTAAACGAAATCTAATACCTGCATAACCACCCACAGTATGCTCTAAAGTCTCTCTTCACTAATACTATAGCCTGAGTTTTCCAATACTGGATTTCTTTTCTTCCTGGGAAATTGTTAGTAGCAACAGTTTACAGTTTAAAGCACTGAAGGAAAGATGTAGTATTCTTTTTTAAAGTCTTCCTGCTTTTGATGATGTGCTTTGTTCAGATTTCTTCCTTATAATTTTCTTTTCGACTTTGAGTTTACCTTTCCCCTATTTTTTCTTCATCCTGGAATTCGCAGGGTGGCAGTTCTTGCAAAGATTATCCTCAGTCTTAAGATAAAAAAACGTGTTAAAAAGTCTCGTCCAACTATTGTTCTCCAGTAAGGAGGATGGAAAATGGTAGAATCTCCGCCCACCATCCAAAAGCCAATCAGGACGCTTGAGAAGACAAACAACCTCCTCTCACAAAGAAAGGCCGTTTTTAGTTGCTGAACAGTGTGATTATTTCAAGGCCTCGGAGCTGCTGATAAATAAACAAACATACTTTCTCTTTCATGATCACTGTTGCTTCATTCATGGGGGTTATTAATTTAGAAGGGATGTGCTGCAATCTGTGCCTATGTACACACTAACATCAGCCAGACTCCATGGAAATCAGACGCAAATTCAGAACCTAATGCTCCCCAACCACAGGGTTCTAATGGCTTTGCTCATCTATAGGCTGCAGGGATCCATGAGAGTATACATCTCAAGCATCCAGAATTTCCTGGGGAACCACACAGTAGATACAGTTTTTTGGGGATCATGTTCCAAAACAGGTTCAAATTGTGCAACATCTGCTCCATCCACCCTGGACACCAATCAGTCCTACTGGCAGCCTGGGAAAAAACTTTGCTGCACAGGCTGAGCCCAGACAGCTTCATGTGCACCTCGACTGATGGCTGCAGCAGGGCTGGCTGGATGTGAGCTCCTGCTGGCAGGCCAAAGGGCTGGCTCAGCCCAACCAATAGCAAAGACAAATTATTTCTCCTCCCGTGCTCTCCCATTACCACCCATAGGCTTGGAATTACGCAGTTCCCCACAGCTGCAGCCCCCTACCACTGATGTCTGAATAAGGGAATTGGAGCTGAAGGACACAGATGGGAAAAGTGGCAGCAATGAAGAGAGATGGGCTTCTGAAGGGAGGCAAAGAAAGCATATTTGAGCATAAGAGAAAAAATGAAGTCTCTCCCTTTGCCCCTCTTTGAGGTCATTATTATCCCTATTGCCCCCACATTGGAGAACTGGGAATCTGAGAGCTATGCACAGTCTGGTCAAGAATTAAAAACATAGAGTCATGTTCTCCACTGCCTTGCACCTGTGTTGTCAACCACACCTGTGCAAAGTGGATGTAAAAAGCCACCATTTTGACATGGCAGAAGGTAAGTGACTACACAAAATGCAGGGAAGTGTAGAATATGGCCTACAGGAGCAGCCTTCGGGGGGGAGAGGGGAGTGGAAATAAATCCAGAATTATACGTGATGCTGCAGTGAAATATTCACTTCTTGCTGCTGTGGCCCATATGCTAAGGAAGACAAATCTGAAGTTGCCCTAAGTGTCTTTAACTCCACTGGATCATGAAGCTACCACAAGGGAGCAGTGTTTCAATCCATGACAGTTTGTTTGTGTATGACTGAGGGTATGGCATAGAACTCTCTTAAGGACAATGGGTCTTTGTCACACTGGAGAAGCAATGAGTTTGTGTGTAAGTCACAGTCCGTGGGTATGAGACCAAGGTAGGGAGAGCCAAAAAATTCCAGGCTTTAACCAAGTTATGCTAGAAAGAGCTCGGGAATAAAGATGACAATAGTGCTTACTTCTCTCCCCGGAAGATCAGACATCTGTGCACATGTCTGAGCGAGTCTAGGAGAGATACTGTGCCGGGACGGTTCTCCTGAGCACCAAATGTCTTGCAGTGAACAATGGGGTCTTTTACTTCAACAGGCCACAAACATCAATTTTTGGTGAAACATTGTGGGCTGCTGAAAACTTGTGTGGCCAATCACTTGGCTATTCTTACTGTAAGGGGAAAGAGATCCAGCCACTAGAATTATCCCAATGTCCTGGCAGTGTGGTTATCAAAGATGGTGGAAACATTTTCCATCAGAATTTTCCATCAGAAAATGCAGTTTGATTGAAATCAAAACTTTTGGTCGAAACGTTCAACAACATTTTTGATGGAAGAACATAGAGAGGATTCATTTCATTTTGATAATGTTTTAATATTTTACATCTGTAATTTATATTTAATATTTTATATTACAATGTTGCAACATGAAAATGAAATTTGTTTATCTTTTGAAACAATTGAAAATGAAAATGAGTTTCTAAGTGCTGGAGTTTCCCGTTGAACAGAAATCCCATTTCCTGCCCATCTCTAATGGTTATGCTTTGTGGGGATGGAGCTCTACAGATTGAAAGATATCCAGGGACTGAGAGCATGCTGCAGGATAGTTAAATAGCAAATCAGCTCTTGAAATAAGGGCATGTTACACCTGCAAGTTACCACATATCCTCAGTGGAGTTACTTCCTTTAACAAATACACCAAACAGTCAAGTAGTTCTCGATTATAGTTTTATTATTTCATTAATGATTCTGTATTAAATAAACTTGGGCAATGTGAGTGACACAATAGTATTTCTCTTTTGTTACATTATTCACAGAAATTGGGCCAGAAGGGAGGGGATAACAAAATTGAGAAGACTTAATTTAACAGTGAAGAAATAAAGATAATTTGTAAAGTACAGTAATCCACGGGGAATGGTAGGATGTTCTGAGCAATGTTTGTACTGATCATTTTCTGAGGAGCTTATGATGCTCACTGGCAGATAAACCTTGTATGTAGTATAGTACCACCTACTGTGAGAGAGACCTCTCTGTGTAGTCAATTCTACTTCAAACTTACTGTCTCAGGCCTGGTTGTTGTCACAGTAGGGAAGAAAATAGGACCACTGGCCTGTGGAGGGAGCTCCTGAATGCTTTAGTTCCAGTCTCTCCCAGCAGATGTCACTCTAGGGAATGGAATAGTAGTACAGAGTAAAAGCAGGGTGAACGCTCATGGTAATTACCCTCTGTGAGCAAATTAATTATAATGACAGGGTAATTTTAAAAAGGAAAAAAACAGATGGTTCGCGTTTGCTTTTAAGAAATAAGGCATATATATTCTTCTTTTTGCGGATACAGACTAACACGGCTGCTACTCTGAAAAAAGGCATATATGGGCACTCCCCTCTACTCCCATTCCATGCTGCTCTGGAAAAACAGAGTAATCTGCAAGATTGTGAAATATCTGAGGGTGGTTTCCCAGAACAGTGCAGAAGAGACAGTACATGTGGGACATCTGCTGGCCTGCTTGTGGTGGTGGGAGTTTGGGAAAGGGCATTCTGGAAGACTGCCGTCCTTTTCGGGGAAGCGTTAATTAATAAAGATTAGATCATATGGCAGTTTGGCTAGCAATGAGTTGTGTTGCTCCGGGCGCAGGAATGGAAGGTATGTATTGCTTTTCATTTGGAACGTTTCTGTTAGATGTGTTAAGTGTAGGCTAGTTTTAAAGGATGCACAACATGGTGTTTTTGAGTATGAATACTCTTTCACACACGGACACAATTAGCTACACCTGTTGTTAAAGATGCCTCAGACTTGCCATTATAAAACCCTATTTTCAGTTGTTTATAACTTTGGAAAACTCTAAAGAGCACCAGCAGGCAATGGTCAAACACCAGCTGAGGACTGGGCTCTGATAACTCCCCCTGCTTGCCCTTGACTGCAAGCTGGAGAGAGGGAAGTGTAGGAGGTGGCTTTGCTGGCTCCACATTTACTGGGAAATCACCCACCTAGTGGAATATCCCCACAATAAGGGACTTGCAGGCGATTTCTGCTCTTTTTGTACTACCTGAGTGATGCAAAAGGAGAAGCGTGGGGCTCAGAGTCTGGCCCTTAAAATCCAAACTATTTCCCTTGCCGGTTTTGGTTTGGGCCTGTCTCTATTTATACACTTTAGACAATGAAGTAAAGTGGATGATTAGAGAGAGAAAGACTGAGTGTAGTGTGTGAGAGTCAGTGAGAGAGAGCACAGGTTCAAATATTGAAGGGGAAACAGCTTTTCAGAAGTGCTCAGATACTATAGTGGGACATGCTAAAAATATCGGACATAGGTAGATAAACAGCATTAGTATAACCTGTTTTAAATCTTAGGACATTGTCACTAGAACAGGTTGACCTGTTCATTGCAAATAATTTATCTGATGAATACCTTTCCTCTGTCCATGAATTATCCATAAAAGTCTTGATTTTTTACACCCTTCACAAAGTTCAGGGATGTTCCGAACCAGGAGCCTGGTTCAGAGACTTTGAGTTATAGGGACAAGCTGAAAAATGTGCAATTGTTAAATTAATTTAGGCTCTGATCCTGCAGTTGACTCCACATGGACAGATAGTTGCAGGCTCAGAGCCATGTGCAAATAATGGAAGGACCTTTATAGACTGGCTGTGAGAGCTCTTCTGGGGAGAATGCACACACAAATAGCTATGTGTCCTTCCACAAACAAACATTCTTGTAAATAAAAACTGGCTCAACACAATGTATGTGAACAAGAGATCAAAATAGGTTGCCAATACTTGGGAAGCGAGTCAGCCAGTTTGATTTATAAGAATATTGATGATTTTACTCTTGCCATAGCCTCCAAGCTCTAATTGCCATGACTCTTCTTCATTTTATAGTGGGCCTGTATCTCTCTCGCTCTCTCTTTACACCCCATTAGGTGGCAGAAAAACTATCATCTTTTTTTCTAGCCAGGAAGGTAGCATTCCCCAGCACATTCTCCTTCTGAGTTTGCTTTGCAAACTAGTTACCAGAGCATACTTCCCTTCACCCCCAAGACAGAACAAGCCCAAATCATCCCAGACATAAAGCCATCAACTTTGTTGATATTACAACAGGGATGGACTTGTTTAATGCAACTTCAAAATATTTACTACTTTCCAAAACAGGAAACGGGTTTCTAAAACTTCCTCCCAAACTTCCCAGATGAACGTGCCCTTCCTTCATCCTTTGGGAATAACTTTAAATATGTATATATAATATAAATATTCCCTTCTACCTCAGTAATAAAACATTCTTCTTTGCCCACATGAGAATGGATGCCAGGGACTGAAGCATACAAGATGTTTTTCCTGTTTAACGTGTTTCTATGACAGGATCCCACTAGGGGGAGCTAGAGAATAAAGAATCCTTATCTACGCGTAGACTTAAATTGTTTACAGAATAAAGTGGTGGACGTGCTATGTGTCCCCTTCTCAGCAGAGCTTGTTGCATTCTTGGTGTATAAACTCCTTCAATGCAATGGCTTTTTGCTGTATGAGAACATCAAGTCCTGTTTCAGGGCCTTGTAGAGACTGATGAAGGATTTGGCCCAAGAGTCTTTCTGGTGCATCCGAGATCGAGCTGCCCTGTAGGCTGTGTAGACCATGGTCAACACTGTCCTTTCAAAATCTTCTTTCTTTAGGACCCTCGGGTAGTCAGACAGCCTGGCACTCAGCCGACGAATCTCTGTGATGCTCTTGGGGATAATGTCATTGCAGACAGTGTCAAATTCTTTGGCCTTCCTCAGCGAAGCCAGCTCCTCATCTTTTATGGAGATCCTCAGATTTCTGTCAATTTCAATCTCAGCTAAAAGAAACTGGTACAAAATCAGAACACAGAAAACTATTTATCCTCTGAGAGTCTATATATAGAGTAAACATTAATTTAGAGCTTGTTCTTATTTCTTTTCTTTGGTAAAATGCAAGCAAAGAACTAAGCCAGGGTAGAGTAAAAAGACACTGTTCAAGTTGCCCTCTAAAAATTCCACCACTGCACCTTAATTCCTGCCCTTCCAGTTCTGGGCCCACTACACTGCGTTACCAACACATATTAATACTGGCCTATGATACCTTTCCTTTTATAGTTCAGGATCTTTTTTAGTCATGCTGAACTGTGGCAGATCATGCAGTGACTTTGTAATCTATATTAGGGTCAAAGCACCAGAATCATTTTCAAATGTGTACTGAACAGAGGATTTGCGCCTGCTCTGTACAGATGAAATAGTCATGCTGTCCTGGAAGGTTTGTTTTTCCTTTTGATTCCTTGGCACTTCCAGGCATGGTGCGGTGCTGTTAAGCATTGATTCGTTTGGCACTGATGCTTTGGATCAAGGAATCAAAATGGCACTATGTGGTTACCGGTTAGGGGGCAGAGGATGGGGTATGTTCAGTGGGGGCACTGGTTCTGGATCTTGCCTTCCCTGTTGGTCTGACAGAAGTCACATCTATTGAACTCCAGGTGCCAATGTCAGGTTTACCCATGGGCTGAGGGGACGTAATTTCTTGGAAAGTTTTGTTTGTTTGTTTTAAATCAGGAGTTCACTTTGAATTGAGGGTTTCTCAAATTTAGGTATATTTTAATTTGTTGAATGTACATGTCCCTAGAATCTGAAATAGAGATATTTTATACTTTTAAAAGTATATACACATCTCCAAGTCCTCTCTGTTTGGTACCAACAGTGGGCTATTAACCATAAGGGACCGCACAGTGGTCAGCAATTCAGGTTTGAGGCTGGGGCAGAGCTCAGAGATAGGGTGAAATGGGGAGGCTGTGATGAATGGGAAACAATAACACTATTCCGGTATAGAGACTGAAGGGTGCCCATTGCCCCAACATACTGAACCTCAAAAAGCATGTTCACATCATCCAGCGAGTTCTGCAGCACCGGGCTCATGGGGGCAGATGACGACCATCTCTTAAACCGCTGAGCATCTGGGAAAAGCATGGCTGGAAAAAAATCAACAGGAAGGGAGATTTAAATGAGTGGCACGCACTAAGGGAGCCAAGGACATTTCAGTATCAGCTTTAACCAATGTATAGTCTGTTGCCGAAAATATATTGTAGGGAACAATCTTGTACTGGGCAAGGAAATTGACTACTTGGGTTGTAAGCTTTTATTTAGAGTATAAGCTCGTTGGGGTAGAGGCCATCTTGTTGTTCTGTGTCTGTACGGTGCATACCACAATGGGGTCCAGAGTCCATGACTGGAGCTCCTAAGCACTACCACAATACAAATAAAAATAATATGACCTAGACGTTTTCTCTCTGATTCAGGGCCAGAAAGGAGCCTCAATTTGGGAATCTAATACTGTCACAGGGAAAGGACATGTCACCCTGTTAGGAGCCACATATAGTCAGGAAGTCACTCAACCCTTGTTGTATTGCTCAGACTCTACCTACGATAACTGTAAGGATGGGTCACACAGTTTCCTTCCAGGCTACAGCTGAGTCTGTTGGGGTGCTGATAAACAGTGTGGTCATCACTCACTCCTCTGCAGACCAGAGAGCCATGTCTTTGATATATCCAGGCTTGAAAGGACTGGATTGCTATTCCTAGAATATCAGGGTTGGAAAGGACCTCAGGAGGTCATCTTGTCCAGCCCCCTGCTCAAAGCAGGACCAACCCCAACTAAATCGCCAAATGGCCCCCTCAAAGATTGAACTCACAACCCTGGGTTTAGCAGGCCAATGCTCAAACCACTGAGCTATCCCTCCCCTCATATTGGTAAGTGTTGATTTCACTGTACACACACAACTGACAAAAAATATTTCCATCAACAGCAATCAAAATGTACAGACAGACAAAGTTAGAAAAATGCTGCTTTGAGAACTTATTCCAGTTTGATTTCAGGATATTTACATTGTATATTTTGACAGATGATCTTAACAATTTGTGTTTTAAAAGTTACAAAGCTTTAACTTTTTGAATCTCCATTTCTGTCATGTATTATTTTCTGATTCCCCCTGTTGTCTGACCCCTCCGCTCCCTGGTGGTAAAGCCCCACAAATGTAAAGATGTAAAATCAAGAAAAAATAATTAAAAATGCTTAAAACCTATAATTTCCCACAATTGTGAACATTAAATCAATATATTACTTGTAAAATAAATGTTTAAAAATAAACATTGATATTATCTGTCAACATTATAAAAAAATAAAAATTGTATTCTTTCAAGCCTAGATATATCTAATATGAACTTATCCATGGATTAGTCTGCTTAGTAATTAAAACTTTAATCACTGGGCCATTAAAATGTTAATGTCCAAGCAGCTGGCAGAGATCCAGTCAAAATAATGAAGATTCATTTATAACGTTTTAAGCATCCTTTCCAAGGAAACTGACCCATGCATAGAAACATCTATACAGGTGTGAAATTTTGTATTCTTAAGTTTTCCCTATGTTGTGGAACAGGTGAGTGGAGAATCTTAAGACACTGCTGCAATACTTAAAAACACAGCTATTTTTATTTGAATGAATGGATGGATGTTTTATCTTTTAGTTTCCAAGTTTCCAGGGGAAAACAAAATCTTCTCCTAGTCTGTTATAACCATATATATTTTCAAATGAATCACTATCTGCAATTCAAAGTTAGAGGGGGATAGAAAATAGATTGAAATTCTGGACAGATCAATATCTATAGCAGTGGTCTCCAAAGTGGGGTGCGCAAGAGGATCCCCTCTGGGGTGCGCTGCAGTAGGAGCGTCGCAGGAGCAGCGCCGCTTTATTTTTTTTACCCCTCCCTGGGCAGTTCGGCCGGGAGTCCGAGCGGCTTTTTTTTTTTGCTTCGACAGTTCAGCCGGGAGCAGAGGGTGCATGCTCAAAAAATTTTTACTGATGGAGTGTGCGATCAAAAAAGTTTGGAGACCACTGATCTAGAAAATCACTTCCATGTCTCTGTAATAGTGCCTTATATCTATCTCCCAGGCACTATACAAATTATGAATCTATAGACATCACTTATCCCCCAAAGAAATGCAACAGCTATTTAACATTGACACTGTACAACAGCTTTTGATAAAGGAAGTGAAGGATGATATTGGCAGCTGAAAGTGCACAGGGAGAATTTAGGTGGGCAGATTATTACATTGGAATTTAGCTAAGAATGAACAATACCTTTATTTTAAAACTCATCCAGAAGACATCACTTCCATGAGCAAGGCCCTCTCGATGTTAGGAAATTGCACAGTGCTGACCTAAGGTATGTCTACACTTTGAACTGGGGGTGTAATTCTCAGCTTGGGGAGACATACCCACCCTAGCTCTGATCCAGCGAGCACACTAAAAATAAAGTGTAGCTGCAAGGGTGGGGGCAGCAGGAGGGACTAGCTGCCCTGAGGCTAGCCCCTCCCACCTGTGGTCATGGTGGCTACATTCTATCTTTAATCATGCTAGCTTGATCAGAGCTAGCATGGGTATATCTCCTCAAACTGGAATTTTCACCCCCAGTTTGAAGTGTAGACACACCCTTAGAAAAGTGCCTCTTACTGAATTACTAGCTGCACTTCCTGATGTATTAAAGGGTGAACTGTCGGGTTGGAGGGAGGTTACTAGTGGAGTGCCTCAGGGTTCGGT